AGCTTTAATGTTGAAACGGGGTCTTAAAATAATCCTTTCACAAAATAAGGCAGCTTTATGCTGTAAAAACATTAGTTCTTTGTCAAAGTTTATGTTCTTCTGTCCTCCTCTGCTTTCACCATCTGTCAGCATCTTCTTTAAAGACCATTTTTTTCTTCCCAGTCACACCTGTATGTGGCTCCTGGTCTGTCCAGGTAGGTTTACAGAAACAAGAGTTCCACTGTGGTCTCACAAGCCTGCCCATCTGCGCTGGTCCTAGTTCTCTGCACATCTCAGCAGATCTTGGCGAGGTCATACTGGAACTCCTCACTTTGGTCGGTTTTGCTTTTGCTGCAGGTCTTACAGCACCTGTCCTGTTGGTTGCAACATTTTGTTAGGGAAGCGAAGACGAAGTTAAGATGAACAGTAAACAGTGAAGAGCCACATCCGGAGGGTTTATAACCACAATGAGGGAAAGGCTTAGATCCCTGCACCTCCACTGGCAGAGCCTGTCCTCACCTCCTAGGAGGTCCAAGGCAGCATTCAGGTATGTGTCTATCTTGTGAACACCCTTCCAGATGGTCTTCAGAGTGGCCCTCTAGGCAGTGGTCTGTGCCTGCTCCTGGCACCTGAAAGGGGCGGTCAGGAGGAGAAGGAGGAAGAGGGCCTGCCCAAGCCCTGGGAGCAGGGCCATCTGTGCAGCGTGGGGCTGCAAGGGGCCCCACAGGTCCCTGGAGCTGCAGGACGGGTGCACCCCCATAGAGCCCTCAGGATACCCTTGGCATCAGCGTCAGCCCCCAAGTGTATCTTTCACACTATTTTTCATTCCTAAATATAAATATTTGAGTTACCTAACCCAGTTTTCTGGAGCACATCACCATTATTTCCATATACGTTGTCAAGATAACTTTTTGAATAGAGGCATGGGTGCTGTCACTGCAAGTTTTACCCAAAGCCAAAGTCTCCCCTGTCCAACTCACAATCTCCATGTAACCATTCTCTAAATCATAATCACCTCCAAGCTCTATTATCCTTAGAACAAGTTCCAAGTAATACAACACTAAGTCTATGTTAAATTTCTGTGTCATATTTTTACCAATTAATTCAAGTGACCTTTACAAGCAACCAGAAATTACTATGGAGACTGTTTTGGGCTAATTTGTCTTCTCCAGAGTGTACTTTGTTATTAACAATTAAGTTATGACAGTTCATTCTTTAGTATGAATGACTTTATGAGGACTTTCTCCTAAGAGACACTTTCCTCTTTCCCAAGGGAAGTTTTGTGGAGAAGAAACTGTACCTTATATCTAAGTATATATGATGTATGTTAGTTTATTCTCAACATTGAATTAGAAATTAAGGCTCTTTAAAAATGCTACTGTTTCAGTCTCACCAGAGATTTTCCATCACTTGTCCTCTGTTATTTAAACAACAAAACAAACAAAACCACTTTTCAAAAAAGAAAGACATTGAGTAAATGGGATTCACATAAGATTTCTACTGAATATCTTTTTTAGATACATTAAACATGTAAGTAAAAGACTCTTTGTCAAGTATTTTGGCATAGAATCAGATTTTTAAAATATATTTTAAAAATCATATAAAAAGTATTTACTGTGTTATTCTTGCAGTACCAATACTTTAATAATTTTTAAAACTTGCTATGTCATTGTAAACTTTAATGAAATGAAAATATTTTAGAGTAGCAACCTAGTGAGTCAAGTTAATAACATCAATGCTAAAGAATAATCTGATGGTGAAAGTAAATATATCTGCACTTAATAATCTACCAAACCTGAGTGTATACTCCAGAGAAATTCTCAGGGAGGTTCATAAGGAGACACTATGGGCCTGTTAACAGCAGTCTTGTATGCAGTCTCAGGAGGTTTGAGGTAATCTCCTTGTCCATCTCTCAGGGGGAAGGCTAAAGTAAAAGGACTTGGGGGCACAGTCTGACATACCATGAAAGAATTAGAAGCAATGGACTAGAGGAACCCAGAAACATGCCTAGATCGTAAAATGATTTTAATACAATCCTATCTGGAAAAAAGTAAGAAACAAAATAAGTCCTACACCACAATAATGTATTTTAATTACAAATACACACACATCAACATTTACATAAGGAAAACTTTAATACACACCTGAAAGTGAGTATGCACACCTTGTACTTGGGTGGGACAACACAAATTGCAAAGAAACATTGAACTTAGTAGGCATTAGCAGTGATATTGTGATTGTGATTCTGAAATTATATCTCTGTATTGTGTTATTGAGCAAATTAATATGTAGTAGGATGTGAGACTCTTCACTGGGGGAGAAGGACAATATAAATGTAGAAGGGAAAACAGTAAGGAAGAATTTGGTACTGAATTTTAATTAGCGGATTAATACAAACTCATATTTTCTAAAATACGTGTCTATTTTTGTGTTGGGACAGAAGTACCCCAGAAGCGAGAAGATGTCGGTAGCCATGAACAGACCCAGATGTTGGTGCCTATGTGCATTCTTACCAAAAGAAACCAAGGCTCCTTGGAATGATTTCAGATCTGGGGTAGAAAAAGTCCAAGGCAAATAAGGGAAAATACAATAACTTGTTGAACCAGAAAGCACTTAAAGAGATAATGAGGTCATATCAAAAGCACCTAAGAGCCACCTGAAGGAATTCCATGTTCCAAACTTAGGTGAATTTGAACATTAAGAAAAGAAAAAAATGATAGCAATGTATTTTGACTTAATGGACTTAAAAAAAATTAATGGATCAAAAGAGGAGGTGGGTAGAGAGAAGAAAAACTCTTCTTCACAGATGAATGCTAGAATAATAGAAAATAATTGTTTTGCAACTCTCAAGGTAACAAGAGAGAGACTCAGGGAATGAGAGAGAAGAGGCAACATGCTAACAACTGTAAATCTAAGTTCCTCATTTTACCCATCTTTCGACATCTCCGTAGCTTTGTAAATTTTACAAATAAACAAAACAAATTTTAAAAACAGACACACAGAATGCTACCACATTTCTCAAGGACACATGGAATTATAAGGATACAGATCAAACACTGTATAATATTTGTTAATGATAGAACATGGGAAATAGGAATAATGAAAACAGGAAAAAGATACCATATTTCACTATAATTTGAAATGACCATAACACAGAGATTCCATTTTGCTAGTGTAGAAACACAAAAAAACTAAAGAAAAAAATGGGGTATTTCAAGATCGAGTCCCTAAAAAAAATTTGTTTTACTTTAACTTTTCTTTAACCTTCTACTTAATCTAAGTCTATAACCTAAGTGTACAAATTTGGTACACAAAATACCACAGAATAATATTGTCTTTTGTGGGGACCAACAGTATAATACATATTTGCCCAGATACACAATTGTATAGTGAATGTCCCTTAAATTTTCATTACTTGTAACACAGAACTTCAACTAGGTGGTGTTAGGTGGAATGTTCTGAGACAGAAAAGAGCCTTATCAATTGGTATCTTTACACTAAAAAAATTAATTTACTCAAAGAGAGATTTTGAAATCTTGCTCTTATCTCCAACCTTTTGAATTTTTCACTCCTTTCCATAATAAATATAATAGCCTGATGTAGTAATCACATGGATATTTGCATATGAAAAGCATCTACTTAATTATATTTTGACTGCCAAACCTGCCCCAAATAGAGGATGAAAACATCAAAATAAAATGGTACCAGACCATCAAAGCAAGAAGCAGAACAGCAGGAAGTCCAGACATCAATAGCAAGGGAGGCCCCAGTAAGACACAGTACATTAGCGCTTCTTAATTCTTTATCAGTTGAATCACACTTTTTTCTTTGTTTTGCAAAACAGAATAAAATCCCTTAAATAAATGTCTGCATATGTAAATTGGTTATAAGAAGAGATTCTTAAGGAATCTAGATACACTGTGGAATCATGACAACTGGGTTCCTTTGAGTTACAGGATTATAAAATTTGGGACTTCAAGAGACAATCAAAAGGGAGGGGGGAGGTGACCCAGTAAACTCCCTCCCCTACCACTCAGTAATCCTCATCCTCACTTCCTACGTCTCCTTGCTTGAAGTTCCCAGCACCCAGAAAAGCGGCAGGCTTTGCCCATAAAGGAGACCCTAACTAAAACGGTGGTCTGCGGCGCTCAGCTTTGAAATACTGACTTCAATTAGCTGAACCATCACCCACAGCTGTTTCTCATATGTAAGTCATGCTCTGCCTCAGAAATCCCCTGATGAAACTACATGAAGATTGGGAAACTTAAGCTTCAGAAGCCGCATTACACGTGCCCTTTACGTGTTCAAAAATATGTATCATTTTCCTTAAAGACGACACCAAAATCATGCCAGCTTTTCGAACCACACAGCTTGGATCAGTTAAGTTAGTTGAACAAGGACCCATTAGACTCAGGTGGACCTAACGCCCGGGCGGCCGACCTAAGCAAACCAACATCTAAGCCTGTGAGCGCCTCAAGGTTAGGAAATTAAGGACGACCAATCACAAGCAGCCAACGAGGCTTTGCGCTACAGCCCACCAATCATTTCCTTACGTCGCTCCCGCGCTTTCTCCATAAAAGGCGCTCCCCGCTCCTGTCAGGGGAGCGCTCCTAGCCACTTCCAGTTTGGTGCTGCCTGATTAGAATGGGGCTTTGCTCAAGTAAACTCTTAAAAATTTTAATATGCCTCAGTTTATCTTTTAAAAGCCCTGGTGACAGAGAAACAAACCAAAGGGCCCCAGGAGCCCCAGCAGCCCGTCGGAGGAGGTACCTGCTGAGCCCGGAGCTCGCTGTCTGCCGGCTCCTTCCCGCGGCCCCCGGGGGGCCTGCGACCGCCCCTCCGCCTGCTCCTGGCTCGCGAGCAGCTTTGGAAGCTTCTGCGTCATGAGCTTTCAGGCTCTGAGAGTTTCTTTTTTCTGAACTGGGTCCAGAAACCAGCTGGAGCTGACCTGGGTCCGACCTAAAAACCGACCGGGTCCAGGGTCGGACTGGGTCCACTTGGGAAATCGGTCCGGGTCAGGTCTGATGGTGTCCAGGTCAGACTGGTTCCGACCTAAGAACGGGACCGCGCGGGGTTCGCGCTGGGTCCGACTGAAAGCGGGCTGGGTCCGGTGTGTGGCCTCCGGTGAATAAAAGTTTACCTGAAGACTGAACAGAGGTTATACCAGAGACGGTCTCGAATGACAGTGGCCACAGTGGAGAGCGTTTAAGCTAGAAAAGCGTGTGCATTCAGGAGGGGCCTTGAGAAAGAGGGGCCTCAGCCAGGCACTCATATAAAGAGCTGAGGGAAAATTATTTTTCCTCCTCTGTGGTTTCTGGTGACCAAGTGAGACCCCCTGGGACACGCCGCTCACTCCTCAGCCTGCGGACGGCATCCGGGGAAAACTGGCGAAGCAACGAAGGTAAGAACTCCTGCCGAAGTCTCAGAGCCCTGTCCGTGAGACACGAGGTAAAATTTCACATTGTTCCTTTCCAAACTCAGATTGGCAGGCAAAAAACATTTCTAAGAATTACTTCCTTGAATTGTGACTCATGAATTTGCTTTTGGGTGCTCACTGGTTATCCATTCTTCCTCTCCCAAAGGCAGCAGTTGCCTTCTTGTTTGTCTTGCTTTATGTCCTGAGACCTCGTCAGGTTGGTGGCCTCCAGAAATGGCTGGACGGAAATGCAGGTTGCAACCCATTTGCAGCTAGAATCCTACCAACTTTTGCCAGCTCCCCGGGGAATTGTCTGTGTCTTTATTTCTTTTAGTTATTTTTGAAAGTGATTCTGGATCTTGGGAGGATGGTGTCTTTTGCACCCTCTTTGGGATACTTCTTGTGTCCATGGAGTTTATTAAATACTGCCAGGAATATTTATTGTTTGTCCTGGCTGAAACCTGACAGTATATTTAAAAGGATTTTTTTTTTCTAAATAGCTCTAAGTTCAGAAATTGGCCAAATTGGAAATAGATATTCAAAACCTGATAGGAAACTTTTTTTTTTAGACCTTTTCCCCTAAGTTAAAATGAAACTAGGTACCCAACGAGCTAGAAATACATTCCAAAGACAAACATATCTAAATCTAAAACGTAGGAATCTTTCAATTTCCATCTTAGTTAAAGATTTTTCTCTCCGATATAAAGAAGCAAACCGAAGATAATGTGGTCGGATGGCTGTGTCAGCCTAGATAGTATTCACTTTGCAGCCCAATTCATTGAGAAATTAAAAATAACTGTACTCGTCTTACAAATCATGTCTTTACAAGGACAGAAATGGAGTGCTAGAAACAATTCAAAGCCCACCTATCTTTTTTATCAATCCCAAAATCACCCCTATTCATTTCAGAAGGCTTGTGGGTACTGTAAAATTCTAGATTTAGGAAATAAAGGACCTTGGAGGAACTTGCATTCTTCCCCTCGGCCTTTGAGATGTAAATGATTTACCCACTGTTCTCTAGGAACTGAAAGCCAGGTCTTATCAGAAAGAAAAAAAAAAAAGGAAAAGGCTATTTAGAAACTAGGTGAATGAAAAGTCCTAAAAATTTCCACAAATATTAGTAAACAGTTTAAAGCATCCAATCAGGTGAGTTATGCCATCTGCCTGAAACACAGTTTGGATTACACTGTTCTTTTATAAAGCAGTGAGTTTTGCATTATCATCCCAGTCTCATGGCTAAAATTTTAAAAAGCAAGCTGTGAGATCTCTGTTTGATCTATTATGTTTCTGTACGCCTAGGTATGTGTATTATGAGTGTGTGATATTACACATGTCTCAAAAGTCCAATCTAAGATTCCTTGTGAGAAGTTCCAGCAAAGTGGATTTTTAAAAAGCCTTATATGGTCAATCATTATTCATGCTGCACTTACATAATTAGGCCAAGTTTAATGAGACTCAATTTATTCTGCAAACAAATTAGTTTTACTCTGATTACCTCTGATAGAAGTGAAGGTGATTAGATAGAGGAAAAAACTATGTTTCAGTTGAAAATTATAGCACAACCTGTGACTATTGGATTCTAGTCCTGTTCATTGTCTTTGAGGTTTCGTTAGGTATCCATAAACTGAACTGGATCCTGAATTCTACTCTCCTCAAGTATCTGGCTACAAATGTTTCCAATTTTCTCCCACCCTTCTGATTTAGAATCACTAAGAAAAAAGACTACCCTTGAACTTCCTTGGAAGGGGCTATGCCAGGTTCTCCTCACCACCCAGGTGACAACCAAGCTTCAAGGACTTGAACCTTGGGTCCACATCCCCCAATTTAAAAGGGCTCCTCCAGACTCTTGGAACTGCACAACAGCTGGAGATCAAAGGTTAAACTGACTAGGAAGGTTCTTTCTCAAAAGCAGATAGCATTTTGATGTGGACAGCTCACCCAAGATCATGGGTCAACACTGTCACCTCCTTTATCTTTTTGCCTTTTTGCTACTTGCCTTTTCTCTCTGTTAGTGTATAGAGAAAACTATTTGCAACAATGTCTGTATGATTTAATTGAACAAGAAGAAAAATAAGAATCTTCAAAAGACACTAATCATGCTCCTAGCATTTGCTAATGCTTTGAATTGGGTGCTTTACTATACTCTTATATCTTTACAACAATCTTATCACATTGGTACTGGGACTCATCCAGAGATGAGACTGCCAAAGTTCAGAGCACTGGAATTAAATTTTGCAAGATTTTATATATATAATATATATATATATAAAATGATTATATATAATATTTATTATTACATAATATGTTATATATTTATATATTATATCACTATATCATATAATATATAACATACATCGATAAATATTATGTAGTTATAAAATAATGACATATAATAATACGATATAGATAGAGATGGGATCAGCACACTAAAGCCTGTGCTGTTTCCAACATTCTGTATTGACTAACAGCTTTAAAACAGCATTTGTTCTCTAATTTTAAAATTATAAAGAAATTAGAGAAAAGATGATTATTTGAAAGCATGAGTTTTGAGCTATCATTTATGTCATAATGAAAAGTACAAAGAGAAATACAAAATAAAGTGTCTCTTGCTAGACTATGTATTAAAATTTCTTATCTTAGGTTTACTCATTTCATTTTGGCTTTTTGATATGTGTGCTATAGTTCTATACAAGGAATAAACTGAATTCCACATATCTTTAATTTAATCTTGAAACCTGACATATTATATTGAATTTCATTTGCTTCTAAGTGTTGTGTAGTATGAGTTTCATTCATCAAATTATGAAATTCAGTATTTTTTTTCCTGGTAATGGAAAATGTTTAAATAAATGACATTTTGGTTCACTACATTACATTTGGTGGTGTGTCATAGATAAGAGTGGAAAAAAGCAAAAATGTAAAGCATTTACATTTTTTAAAAGTAAGACTGCTGTTTTTGATCTTTGTAACCTCTAAGTTTTTTTTATAAAATTGAAAAAAATTCTTAAGCTTTGCTGCATACATTAAGTTGGCTGTTTTAAGATAAGTGTTTCATATATTAGACATTTAGCATAGCTAAAAACCAATACTTTAAAAAATGGACTGAGGGGTTTCCTACCAATTAAAATTTATTGCAAGAGATTTAATGGCAAAAGTTGAGATGTAATTAGCTAAGAGCATAAAGCTGAGAGAAACCTGTCAATCCCCAGCCTCCTTCCTCTTACTATCTCTGCTCCCATCGTATTGTGATCTCTCATTTTTACTGCTTTGCAACTTCCCACATTCTCCTGCTTACCACACAAGACCCACATCTATTAAACCCCCCTATGTATCTTTCCAACCTCTCAATCTTTCCTTTAATTAATTACTCCATTCTGAGTAATTACTCCATTCTAACTGCTCTTCATGAGCCTCCAGATCCCTGGATGATGATAGTGAACCCTCTCTTCCTATAGTTGATGCCACACATGCCTCCATCCACAAAATCAGAGAACTCTTAATGGTCATATAGAGCTCTAACAATTCTAGCATATTGTAAATGTTAAATTTGTCAACCTAAATTTAATTCATCTCACTCTAAAATTTTGGAAGTACTGAGGTATGCCAAAGAATATTATTCTGAAGACAGACAGCAGTTACTGTCTGTCATCATCACGCAGGTCTCCTTTCTCAGGAAGACCAGAGAAGGAAATTCTGTTCTCACCAGCCTAATCCAGGCATTCCTTATCTCTTGCCCACATTTCTGCAATCCTTATCTGTTTATCTCCAAGCTCATCATCCTTCAATTCATTCTCAACACTACTGCCACAGAAGCCTTCCTAAGATACCTCTCTGTCCCAGTTAATCTTTGGGTTTAGAACTTCATGCTTTATTATTACCTATAAAATACAGTTCTAACTGGCAAGGTAGATGTTTAAGGCTCTCCCATGATCAAGTAACAAATTACCTGCTAAACTATTTCTACTAGTTTCCTATAAGAAATCTGCATACTTCTGAACTGGTCTTTTAGCAAACATTGAAACAATGTTGTATATTTTTCCAGATCCTCAAGATTTGACTGCTTTAAATAACCATTCTCTCTACACTTAGTTTCCTTCCAACCAGTTCCCACATTGTGATGAAGGTTATGACCACAGTGATGTCTCCCTTGTCAAACCCCTATTCAGTTATTGTCTACCATGCTCATTTGGCTTTTACTAATGCTGTCCCATAATACTGATTTTTATACAAATGTATTATCTCTTATGGGATACAAGCTTGTTGAGGGGTAGAGACAATTCCCAATAAATTTATGTCAATTGTGATAGAAAAATGAAGGTGATTCAGGCATATATAAAATCAGAGAATTTGGAGATTAGATTCAAAATAAACAATCAACTAACCAATATTTATTTCGTGTCAACTTTGTTTATAGAAGATGTTAGATTGCAGGGATTTTTTTTTAAAGGAGTAGGAAATAGTCTGCTTTCTTCTTAGGAGAATAACAGTGTAATCTTAATACATACATGAATATAAATAGTTGTATTTCCAAAACATACGGCTTATCTTGAGATGCTATAGAGAGAGAATTAATATTGTACTCTGTATTTCACTTTAACCTATAAAATAGATACCAAAGTCTCCCAGTGTCTCCTTGACATACAAGGAATCTGAAACAACATTTAAATAAAGGAGAAAGGAAATTAGAAGTCCTCCTGAGACATGTCTTCAATAAATTATCCATGCGAACTGTTAAGAGATACTGCCAGGTGCTCAGAAATAAAATATTAAGTCTTGCATCCCTGGAGAGTAGACCTGTGTCAATAAATTCAGTTGTTTTACTCTTAGATTACTTAATTTAATGCCTTTAGAATCTACTCTCATTAATATAGTGCTCAAGACTTCTGACTGGCAAGATTCTGTGGCTATTGCAGTGCATAAGCTGCCTCCCTTCTCACCTGGTCCTGCTGAGCGGGACAGTTCTGTTGTCCACAGAAATAATGTCGTGTGGAGGGGGGAGGATTTAGCCCTGAAACAATTGCTATCCTTTTGT